GACTCACCATTCCAAGTGTTGGCGGGGACGTGGAACAACTGGAACTGCCATACACTGCGGGTGGGAATGTAAAATGGTACACTCACTTTGGAAAACTGGCCGTTTTTTAAAAAGTTAAACATATACTACCATACAACTCAACCATTCCACTCCTAGGTATTTACCCAAAAGAAACAGAAAACAGATATCCACGCAAAGATTTGTACCTGAAGCTTAATTTGTACATAACAGTTTTATCTGTAATAGCTAAAATCTAGAAATAACCCAAATGTCTATCATCCAGTGAACAGACACACAGATGGTGGGATTTCTGGATTAAGAATACTGCACAACAATAAAAAAGGCCGGGCGCGGTGGCTCACGCCTGTAATCCTAGCACTCTGGGAGGCCGAGGCGGACAGATTGTTTGAGCTCAGGAGTTCAAAACCAGCCTGAGCAAGAGCGAGACCCCGTCTCTACTAAAAATAGAAAGAAATTAATCGGACAACTAAAAATATATAGAAAAAATCAGCCGGGCATGGTGGCGCATGCCTGTAGTCCCAGCTACTCAGGAGGCTGAGGCAGAAGGATTGCTTGAGCCCAGGAGTTTGAGGTTGCCGTGAGCTAGGATGACGCCACGGCACTCACTCTAGCCCAGGCAACAAAAGCAAGACTCTGTCTTAAAAAAAAAAAAAAAAAAGAATACTGCGCAACAATAAAAAGACGCAAACGACAATGTGCAGTGATGTGGGTGGATCTCAAGCTCATCGTGCTAAGGGAAAGGAGCCCAACCCAAGAGAGTACCCGCTGTTTTATTCCATTCATATAGAATTCTGTAACGCACAAACTAACTTACCACAGCAAGCCTGGGAATGAGAGTGGAGAGAGTGATGAGCTGCCAAAGGACACAAGGAATCTTCCAGGGATGATGGAAATATTCACGGTCTTGATCTTGGTGATGGTTTCATAGGCATAGACCTATGTCCAAAAACAATCAAACATAGGCTTTAAGTATGTACAGTTTATTGTACTATTATTTTAATTCAATACAGTTATACCAAAAAAAAAAAAACCCAAAGTGGTAAATTTTTAAAAAGAAAAACTAAAGCTTCCTCTGCCTACACTCCTGAATTGCATTACAGTTGATGTCCTTTGGGAGAGGGCCAGCCACAGAAAAATATCCATCTCTACTCAAAAAAGCCCTGATAGTTATCACTGGATTATTATGTCTATGATTTAATGATCATATTAATGTGCCACGAGCTGTCAGATATCAAAATTGTTAAGCAGAGTTTTCCTGAGCACTGAAAATTATTTCAGTGGTTCCTTCAGAGTAAAGATCGAGAAGAACTACTTTAGACTATGTTAGAAAAAGAAGTTTTAATTAACGAAATATTTTTAATTAAGAGTAATACTGGGGGACATGTGGGTGCTTCTGGGGTATTGGTAATGTTTTCTTTCAACCCTGGGCTGTCCTCTTAGTGATGATCTATTGAGCGGTGCATTACATTTTATGCAAGTGTGTATGTGTGTGTGTGTGTATGTGTGTGTGTGTGTGTGTGTTATATGTCAATTTTAAAAGTTTAAGGTAAAAAATTTTTGCTTCCAACCTGCCTAAATCCCTGGAGTCACCCTTTCCTCCTCCTCCACACCTAGCCTTGCAGATACTTAAAGGGTCACCAAGTGCTGTCTTTATAATATTCCTCACATCTTTTCTCTCCATTCTCACAGACACCCCCTTCCCCAAAATCCATTCTGAATAACTCACGACTGAGACTGCGTGGAAAGAAGGCAGGCAGAGGAGGAAAAGCACCGTGACTCTCTTCACAGAGTGGTCAGGGTTTGAGAAGCCTTCCTGGAGGTCAGGCCTGCTCTGGGCCTTAAAAAGCTGATCTCAACACTTTTCCAGCCATGCCCTGTGCAGTGCAGGAGTCCCTTCAGCCCAGCGGCAGTGCCACACCTTTCTGTTCCCCCAGAATACGCTATACAGAAACACCCTACAGTATAACTTAGATTGCGTTTACCAATATTGTGCTCTAGCTATACCCATCTCTACTCCCATTCCCACCTCTGGGCCTTTGCCTACTCTGGGTTTCCTGCCCAACCCTCCAATGGCTTAAAACAAACTCACCTGTTAAGGACCAGGGTAATCTAGACAGGGAAATGGCCCACAGAGTGGGATCCAGGAAGCTGGGCTCACTCAGGCCTGCACCCCATTCCTCTGTCCATGGCAAAAGGGAAACGGTGGAAGTCCAGCAGTTCTGATGCGTGGCAAGAGAAAAGTAAAAAATGTATACTCTTTCACTCAGCCTTGGCTGGAAATTGTAGCCAAAGGCAGAGGCTCCCAGGCTCAATAAGCAGATGAATAAGAACCTTGAAAAGAATACAAAGGCTGAACACAAGGACTGGGGAGACCTCTGCACTGAGCTAGCAACTGCACGTTGTTGGACAAAGGTAAAACCTATAGAATGTTTGCCAGCCTTGAAGACACTAAGAATATAAACAATAACCGGATTCGCATGAAGGTTCCTTCTTGCCAGGCATATACTTATTCTATTGCTTGTTATCTTGAACTGTGTGCTTGAGGTTTGTGTGCAAGAATTTCCCTTAAGCCGTCCTGACAAAGGTTTATTGTTATCTTCTATTTTCTACCACCCATAATCTTCAGGTTACACTTGCATTGATTCTCAAGAATTTATTGCAACTTGCATTTACTGACTACATATCTGTTACAATAAAATATATTTATTAGAATAAGTCTGTTGTAAGAAATCGAATTTGCTCACCTAAAAGTAACATAGCTCACTATCTATGATCTCACTTTTTATTCTGTAACTTCGCTGGAATTCAAGGGACATGACTTCATTGTTAGAGAACATGAAGACCGTGTCTCTTTGAGGCTCTAAAAGACTCATTTCCAGAATAAAACAGGATTTGAGGTTTTCTCTGTCAGGGACCAAGGAGAAAAGCTGTCAGAATGAAACTTCCCAGCAAGGAACTGAGAATGATGTTAAGGCCCCCAAGGAAAAGGGGGGGTGTCCCTAACTAGAATGGGGCATGGCCTCTTATGAGAAGGGCGTAGCCTCCAGGGAAAAAGCAGTGCCTCTGTTAGAGGTTGACTTCCAGGACTCTATTCTACCCTTACTTAAAACCTTGCAGTGGCTGTTTCCTAAGGGTCAAGTTTAATTTCCTGGCATCACGAAACAGGCTCTTCCCACCCCTTTTCATGGTTCCTCTCCTAGCTCCCCCGGCTGCACTGCTGTGTTATTTCTGGTGTGAAGACTGTGCCATGCTGTCTTGCCACTTTGTAGATTCTCCTAGATTCCAGCATTAAGCTCTACCCCCACCTCTAAATTTTTTATTTCCAATTCTTCCTTAAAGAATCAAACCAAGCATCGCCTATATGTTTTCCGTGGAATTAAGTAGAATCAGGGGCAAGAAGCAACTTTTTTGCATTGTGAAGCAGTGGTCCCCAACCTTTTTGGCACCAGAGACCAGTTTGAAGGAAGACAACTTTTTCCAGGGACGGGGGCGGGTAGGAGAGGCAGAGCTCAGGTAGTGATACCAGTGATGGAGAGAAGCTGTAAATACAGACGAAGCTTTGGCTGGGCGTAGTGGCTAATGCCTGTGATCTAACACTTTTGGAGGCCAAGGTGGGAGGATTGCTTGAGCTCAGGAGTTCAAGACCAGCCTGAGCGAGAGTGAGACCCCGTCTCTACTAAAGTAGAAAAATTCGCTGAATGTCGTGGTGTGTGCCTGTAGTCTCAGCTACTTGGAAGGCTGAGGCAGGAGGATCCCTTGAGCCCAGGAGTTTGAGGTTGCTGTGAGCTATGATGATGCCACTGCACTCTACCCAGGGTGACAGAGCAAGACTCTGTCTCAAAAAAATAATAATAGTAAAGAAATGAATACAGATGAAGCTTCACTTGCTCGCCCACCACTCACCTCCAGCTGTGCTACCCTGTTCCTAATAGGCCATCAACTAGTACCAGTCTGTGGCCCAGGGATTGGGGACCACAGTCGTAAAGGAAACTCTTTTGGTTTGTGTATACTATTAGCTTCTGTTTTAAAATATCCATAGATTATTGTATTAAGAAATAAAACTTAAGTTTATTTTTCCAAAATTTTAACCAGATGCAGAAGTTAAATTTTATTGAATTCCTTGTTGTATACTCATTAAGACGATCATGAAGTTTTTAGCATTTTTCAGTTAATTATATTAATTTGAAGCTTCACAACTGGCAAACCACAAATGGGTCATAGATACGGATCCCTCAGGCTGAAGCCAGGAGACCCAATCTCCAGCCAAAAGCAGCTTCCCCGGTGTAACTGGCTTACTTTGTTCATCATTTTCCAAGTGAGCCATGAAATGAAAATCCTGCAAGTCAAAATTCTTGAGAGTTGCTGGGTTAATGCTTTGCTTTGTGGTGTGTCTGGCTTTAGTACATGTGCTAAATCCTACTCAGTCACAAAGAGAAAATTTTTTTTTTTTTTTGAGACAGAGTCTCGCTTTTGTTGCCCCGGTTAGAGTGAGCGCCATAGCGTCAGACTAGCTCACAGCAACCTCAAACTCCTGGGCTCAAGCGATCCTCCTGCCTCAGCCTCCTGCGTAGCTGGAACTACAGGCACGAGCCACCATGCCTGGCTAATTTTTTTATTTCTATTTAATTTTTTATTTCTATTTTTAGTTGACTTGCTAATTTTTTCTATTTTTAGTAGAGACAGGGTCTTGCTCTTGCTCAGGCTAGTCTGGAACTCCTGAACTCAAGGGATCCTCCTGCCTTGGCCTTCCAGAGTGCTAGGATTATAGGCGTGAGCCACCATGCCCAGCCACAAAGAGAAATTTTTTGATGCTCTATAATCTTTTGCCAATGTTTTATTTAACATAGTTGTCTTCATTCTTTTCTATCATTATTCTAAAATATCTTTTTGTGTTGTTGCACTTGATTTAGGTTCAGAATCACATTTGGTGCATAAAAGGCGTGGAGTAAGTAATAGGTATTATCACCCTGATCTGAATGGAGAGGGAGGGAAAGAGGAAAGGAAGGAGGGAGGGAGGAGGAATGAGGCCCCTAGGTGATGCATCTAGAGTAAAATCTGTTTGCTGGGGGCAGAGACAATGAGGGTGGGACATGGGGAAGAGGGTGGGGCTTGGGAGGGCAGGACTGAAACCACCAAGGGGCAGGGTTGTGGCTTGGAGGGGGCTGAAACAGCCACAGGCTGGGGACGTTCATATGGCCACACTGTTTTCCACCAGGCTGGGCCGCAGGTACTCATAAGGCATGTCCAGCTTTTCATTCCGGCTCTCAATTTCCTTATCCAGGGCAGCCAGCTCCTCCCTGAACTTCTTCAGTACAGCCTTGGGCCCAGGGCCTGAAAAATACTCCTCCTCATGCTGGCCCACAGCCACCTGGGATGGAGAGGAAAAGGCAGCTGAGAGCCTGTGACCCCTACTTTGGGGTGCCACACCTCTCTGCAGCTGCCTCCTTCCTTAGGGCCCTGGCACCTGGCTCTCACCATAATGGGCTGGCGTCTGCCCAGTTGCCAAGTGATGGACATCTGGAGAGAAGCCTGGTGAAAGTTGGGCAGTGTTGCCATCACTGTCTCCAGCGTTGCATCCTTGGTGGTCGGCGGGGGCAGCCGCATTGTGCAGGGTGCATTAGGGACCCAAGCGTACCAATCCAGCTACGTAAGGAGGGGCAAGGGTCTAGAGTCAACAACTACTAAGCATGAAAACCCCTTAGCCTACCTACACAGTCCCCTCCCCTGCTCTAGGCCACAAATGCCCAGCTGCCCCCCTCTGGTAAGCACCTGGCCCAGGTGGATGGAGGAGTGCTGGCCAGTGCAGGTGAAGATGCACATGGTGACAAAGCGGCAGACCTGTTCCCGAGACTGTAAAGAGACAGGAAACCCTGCAAGGAGTGAGGAGAGTTAGAAGCTGTGAGGCCGGGAGTGGAGGCAGAGCTCAGAGAGACAAGGCGGAAAGAGGAGAACAAGACAGGTGAGAAGGGGTGCCAGGAACACTCAGTAACTCCTGTGGAAAATAAAATGAGAGTGGGTTGGGGTCGGGGAAACCGGGAGCTCTGCTGGGAGGGTCCTCGTGCTGGCTCGTGCTGGCTCACAAGAGTCAATGATGTTAACTTTTCAGGTGTTTAGCAAACGAGTCAACTTCACATTGGTGGCCACAGTGGGAATATTTACACCATGGGAATGGGCAAATGCTACAAATCAGGGCTTTTTTTCCAGAGAGCCAGTTGTTAAACATTAATGAACAACCACTGGTCCCACTGTGTCTGGGACCTGGGACTTCTCAGTATATAGGATGGGGACCTGTCTCTAGCTGAGAGGGAATGGAATCTAGGAAGGCCTTTTTTAGTTTTCATAGGGTTTGGAAATACCCCTGAAACATTCCAAAGAAATAGAGAGGATTCTAGGGAGGTCTCTTGTGTTTTGCGCCTGAGATCTCAGGGCAGGGGCTCCTCTTACCTCGGTCCTGAGCCCCTAGCAGCCCAATTTCAGTGATCTCTCGACACCAGCTCTGCAGCTCAGGGTCGTCTCTCACAGACTCGTCTGTCTTATAGTGGAGATTCACAATTCCCTCCACGTACCTGCCAGCCAAGGGGTCAAGGCCAGAGAGCTGAAGCCTGACATGGAGCCTCCAAGCGCTCTGCTCCTGCCCACACAGCCAGGCCAGGGCCCCAGCCCCCCAACCAAAACACAGACCCCCTGTTCTCCGTGCCATCTTCTCCTCCCCGCCCACCCGCACCAGCCCTGCCCTCCTGCTCGCCTCACCGAGAGATGATTTCCCAGAGCCCCAGAGCATCTTGGGCATAGAAGGAAGACTTGACCCCGAGGAGCCCCCGGTCAGCCAAGTCATCGGGGACACAGAATGACCTATAGGTCAGGAAGGCTCCAGCTCTCTTGAGCAGCTCCACGTGGCCTCCCCCACCTGTGCTCACCACCTGAGGGATGAGGACAGCAGGGTCAGGCCAGTCAGGCTGCCCTGAGGCCAGAGCCGGAAGGAAGAGTGAACCCAGAATCCCCCTTTCTCCACCCATACCTGGTCAAAAACTCCCATGTTGGAGACCAGCCCATTCCTGGCCCGGACGTTAATTTCCAGCGTGTAGCGCAGGTGGGGAATTATAAGCTAGAGGGAGAGAAGCAGGGAAGGGCAAGTCAGAAGAAAGCTGTGGCAGGTTCCCATGGGAAACAGGGGCTAAAAAGCAGGAAAGACACCAGGTCTTCAGGAAAAAAACACAGACTTCAAGTTCAATGGCCCCTCAGCATCAGGAATTTTCATTTGGGGCTGAGCAAGGTAGTTCACGCCTGTAATCCCAGTACTTTGGGAGGCCGAGGCAGGAGGATCACTCAAGGCCAGGAGTTTGAGACCTGCCGAGACAACATAGTGAGACTCCAATAGAAAAAATTATTGGGGCATGGTGGCGCGTGCCTGTAGTCCTAGCTACCCTGGAGGCAGAGGCAGGAAGATCACTTGAGGCCATGAGTTCAAGGCTGCAGTGAGCTCTGATCATGCCACTGCACTCCAGCCTGGGCAACACAGCAAGACCCTGACTCTCAAAAGAATAAAATAAAATAAATGTTTAAAAAGAGTTTTCAGTTGATTTGCATCACTTAATTCATTCTACAAACCATTGACTGAGCACTTTATGATAATTGAAAGAAATCATTCTCCTTTTCTTTTCATATTCTTTTCATAGGTCTAGACCTGCAGTCCCCAACCCCCAGGCCATGGCCTGGTACTGGCACTATGCCTGTTAGGAACCAGGCCACACATCGCCACCTGAGCTCCAACCTTCCCCTCACCTCATCCCACCCCCACTCCCCCAGGGTTGGTAGAAAAATTGTCTTCCGTGAAACTTAGGAACAGGGCTGGGGGTGCTGGACAGCAGGAGGTGAGCAGCAGTCGAGCAGGCGAAGCTTCATCTGTATTTACTGCCGCCCCCCAGGCTCGCATCACCGCCTGAGCTCCGCGTACACCCCCCACCCTCCACCACCCCCCATTCATGGAAAAATTGTCAAATTGTCTTCCATGAAACTGGTCCCTGGGGCCAAAAAAGGTTGGGGACCACTGCTCTAGACCAATGTTTCTCAACTTTTTTTAGTATTACCCCCTAAGGAGCTTTTTGAGATGCTTTTTCCTAATTTCAACCCCTATCCATGAAATTTTAATGTTACATATACACTATATATCTGTTTATGCGCTGTATTTTATCTGTGCTTTATACATAAAGATAAGATGTTTTCACTCTCCCAACCACTTTCACCTCCTGGGAGGCATTGAGAATGTGTAATCTAACCACCGAGCACCTCCACAACCTCATTTCCTCCGTCTCCCCTTCATCCATTACTCTCATCATCTTTTCTGTTCTTCAAACAACTCAAGCTCATTCCTGCCTCAGGGTCTTTGCACAAGCTGTTCCGTCTGCCCAGAACACTGTGCCCTCTTGATTATCTCATGGCTTGCCTGTCCCCCACCCCCCAGTCTCATTCTCTGTGTCATCTCAAAGGAGCCTTTCCTGGCCACCCAATCTAAACTCACTACCACATCACCCCGCTTTGCTTCTCTGCCTGGTACTCACCACAGCTGGTATGTTACCATACAGTCTGTGCTGTCTGCCCTTGCTGGAAACTGATCCCAGAAGATCAGGACCTTGTTAGTCTTGCTTACCACTAGCATCTAGTGGTTTTTGCCACATGGGAGGCACCTAATAAACATTTTTAATGGGTGAATACTTTGCTCTAGTTATCTGTAATAAAGCAGGCTACTGTTGTTGGCATGGAGCTCTAACTGGCCTATGTTACTATTTTAGAACACTATGAAGACTAGCTGGGAAAATTCTTTTATATTTTATATTTTATATTTTTTGTGTGGTCCCCTTTGATTGGACTGAATCTTCAGTCATTTGCATGTACTGTTTGTGTACTGTATAAACATGTGCTTTATACATTTAAAGGGTTAGATTTTTTTGCCCCTGCCCCTAAGAATCATCTCTACCCCCTTGGGAGGGGATATCACCCGCTGAAAATGCACACTAAGCCAGGATCACACTCCCTTGCTGAGTCTTCCATTGGTTGGTTCTCTCCAAACCCTGAGAACCCACTGAGAGGGGCCTCCAGAGGTGGGAACATACCCTGGGGCAGAGAGAGACAAGCAGGAGAGAAGGGAATAAGGTGTTACCTTGAAGATAGGATGTAGTGAGGGAAGGCACCTCATGGTGGCCACAGAAATGACCTCAGCCATCAAGTGTCCCCTCAGAAGATGAGACTGCAGCTCATGAAGCTGGAAGTCAGAGCTACGGACCCAGCACTTGGCCAGAAGCCAGACCATTGGGGGATCCGTGGGGAGGAAAAGCAGAGGTGGGGGGGATCCTATTCTCGGCAGCTGGAGCTAGAGCAGGGACAAGAGGAGACAGAGGGGTGAGTGCCAGGTGCCCGCCAATCCTCCTCCATCGTACTATCACCACCCCCCACAGCTACCATTCCTTCCCCTCCTTCTCCTACCCACTCAGTGTGCTGACGTTGTGCAAGCTGCTCTGCCCTCAGCCTTCTGCAGAAGCTGCCCCTTCTGCTGCCTTCTGCAGCCTCCACATTCCCTTTCAGTCCCCTCGGTGTGGACAAGACTCAAACCCCTGCTTCCTTCATCCCACACTCTTTTCCCGAAATCTCAGCCTCTCACCGATCTTTCAACACCACCTCTACACAAATGACTAAGTCTCCAGTTCTCAGCTGCCTGACAGACAATTTGAATGTCTCCCATTAATTCATGATCAGCAAGACAAAGCCTACATGAGCACCCCATCCTCTTTATGTGTCCCATTTCTGCAGGCACCTGGCCTGACTCCCCTTTTCCTCTCTCCTTCAATCTCCCTCTGCACTCACATCCATCCGTCCTCCCTACGGTCACTACCCACATCTGAGCCCATCACCTCCTCCTCCAGCAAGCGCTGCAGCAGGTCACCCTAATCCCCATTTCTAGTATCTCCCTTTTCCAATCCATCCCAAACACAACCGCCTGCACAACGTGCCCACAGCACCTTGCACGACAGCCTTTGCCAGCTCCCAATGTCATCCTCCTCAGCGTGGCTTAATCCGGCCCCTGTCACCTCACGGTATTCCCCAACATTCCAGTCAGTGTCCCCTAGGAACTTCCTGACTCGTCCACCTCAGCCTCCCTGCCCACCCAGCTTGCCCCTGGGGACAGGTCCTTCCCCTCCCTCCTGATTGCCTAAGTCCTGATCCTTCTCCAAGGCTCATGACAGCACACCTCCACTCATCCCTCCCAGGCCATCTCTGTCCTCAGGGACTTCCTCAGTACTGGAGCATATTCAGACTTGGCCAGTCTGTCTCTGACGACAAAGCCCTTAAAATCAAAGACTTTGCTCATTCCTTCTTTAATATCTCCCCTAGTGCCTTAGCACGGTGCTTTTGCAGGGAGTGGTTACTCAGTGAATTTGGATGAGGGGCTAGACTGAGTAGACCGACCACGGGGGAGCAGAACCCCTGGGTCCTCTCACCTGGATGACCATGGGCAAGAGTTTCCCATCAGGCTGCAGTTTCAGCATGACCAGAGGGGCAGCCAGGTGCTGTTGGCTGCATAGGATGACATTGGCCTTGATCCCATCCAGCAGGGAGAAGTCAGCTTCAAACAGCGTGTCTCCCTGGATGGGGGAGAAGGCAAAGGCAGCTATCAGCATAAGGCATCTTCTTCTTACTCTGATTCCCCAAACGGAGAAAATAGAGGAGGGAGCTAACTAGTCTCCATCACCTAATTTGCACTAGGTAATGAATCCAGTGTTTATGATTACCTCATATAAATCTTTTTTTTTTTTTTTGGAGACAGGGTCTTACTGTCACTGGGGCTAGAGTGCCGTGGTGTCAGCCTAGCTCACAGCAACCTCTAACTCCTGGGCTGAAGTATCCTCCTGCCTCAGCCTCCTGAGTAGCTGAAACTACAGGCGTGCGCCACCACGCCCAGCTAATTTTTCTATTTTTAGTAGAGATGGGGTCTCACTCTTGCTCAGGCTGGTCTCTAACTCCTGAGCTCAAGGGATCCTGATCCTCCTGCCTTGGCCTCCTAGAGTGCTAGGATTATAGGTGTGAGCCATAGCATTCTACCTATAATTCTTATATGTAGTTGAATTAGCCTCAGTTTTATAGAAGAGGAAACATGACCACAGATGTGGGATATTTTTCCCGAGGTCACACTGCTTACAAAGAGCAGAGCCAGGATTCAAATCCAAGTCCGTCTGATCCTATAATCCCATGAATTTTCTCTCTCAACTGTTCCATGTTGACTCCTGATTAACAATCACACCCCTGAGCCTGATTCTCTTACTCCGTAGCCTGCCTGAATCGCCAGCACCAAGGCCCAGTTGCATGTCTTCGTTTTCACTCTTTTCCTTCGCCCATTCCCCCTTGTACCCCCTCGCTCCACAGTACACTGTCCTCATGCAAGGAGAAAGGACACATGGCTGCACCTCTCCAGGGTCACTCAGGACTTCTCCTGTAGAATCCCTTCCTGCTGGCCAGCAGCAAGCAGACACAGTACAGTTGACGCTGACCCTGTCCCCATTCATTGTTTGGCCTCCTTAGGGCTCTGATGTCCATACCTCCAGCTCCTTCTCCAGCTGGGCCCTCAGGTCCTCCATCCCTGGAGGGAACACTAGGCGTTCAGGCAGGTGAGTAGAGCGCCTCAGCAGCATGGGGTTGGTGCCATTGAGAAACTGGTACCCAAATAAGGCATCCTCCTTCCAGGAGTCCCGCACTTGCTCTGGGAAGGCAGTTGTTGAGCACACCATGGGATCTGAGCTCTTGGTCCTCCCAACTGTCACCAAACCATCCCCACTTGATCCCAGACTATCAGAGGGACCCAAGTCTCTGGTCTCCCAACCCTGGTTCTTCCAATTCCCCTGGGTTGGGTGGGATCTGGGGGTAAGGGTCCTGGGAGAAACACTGGGATGAGGGGACTAACCAGCCAGCTTGCTCTGCCCACACCAGAAAATCCGGTTGAAGTCATTCAGATCATTCCAGCAAGTCAGAACATTTAAAGAGTCTTTGATAGCAAGGTCTGCCAGCCTTCAGGGAAGCAAGGGGCAAAGAGTTGAAGACTCAAACATTGTAAGACCCAAACAGTAAAACCACAGGCGCCGATCATGGGCTGGTCCAGCCCGGTGCAGCTCATAAGCCCACTGGCCACGCCCTCCCCCAACCCCCGCTTGCTCTCACCCCTTGGCCAGCGAAGCCTCAAAGTCAATTCTCTTGTCCTCCAGAAATCTTTCATCTACAGGAAGATCACATATTGTGGTCCCAGCCACATTCAGGATTAACCCATCCTTCCAGCTACCCCACCTGCAGGGTAGAAATGGAATCAGGCACTGGTATTCTGGAAGGGTAGGAAGAGTCAGCAGCTCACCGCGGGCTCAGGGGAGAGGGGCTAACCGGTACAGCTTCCTTCTCTCTTCCAGCTCCTCTTCCCTGTGCTTCTTGAACAGGCCTTGAGGGTCGTCAAGCACCGTGCGGCCTAGAAGTACAGAGGAGTGCACGGGCTTTTCCTAAGAGCCTCTCCCCTGTTCCTGCCAAGTCCCTCCTAGGCTGGTCCTTCCCCCTGGCCTCTCCCCCAGCCTCCACCCACTCTGTGTCCGCGCCAGCAACCGTCTCTTTGACAACCTCCAATCCCCCCCAACCAGGTTCCAGTCTCCAAGTCCCGCGCCCTCTTCACACACGATCCCCACCCCCACCCCCAGCTTCTCTTGCGCCCCTGAGGCCGCCTCACACTCCCACCCCTGCACTCACCGGTGCCCTCCGCTAGGCTCAGGACGCGGTCGCCCTCCACCCAGCGGTAACAAGGGAACCTGTACTCATCCCCACTGGCCCCAGGGCCCTGCACCGAGATCCAGTTGCAGAACCAAGCGTCATCCTGGAAGAGGCGCCCTTTGCGCAGTTTCACAAACAGCAGAGGCCCCAGGTACTCCGGCACGTCCACCTTGAATTCCGTCTCCTGCAGGCAACCGGAGAGGCTCAGCGTGGGTGTGTGGGTGGGCCCTGCCGCGAGGGGTGCCGCGGCCCAGCCCTGCTCCCCCTGCCGCCTTCCTCTGAGCCTCCAGGAAAGCGGCGCCAAGGGAGCCAGAAAGGGAAAGGGATTGCGCACCCAGCAGGGGGCCCGCGACCCCATTCTGAGGGGATGGGGCCTGGAGGATGGAAGGGTGCACGCCTTCCTGCACTTTTTCCTCCCTGTAGGATTGACGAGCACACACTGGAGCCGGGGGACACGCTGCTGATAAGCAATTGCAGCTGTGAGACCCTCCAAGCCTGAGGGCAGACAGGGTCCCCACCTGGCCTAGGGACAGGCTTCTCGAAGGACATTCCGTCTAAGTGGAGACGAGGAGGTGGGGAGGGCTGTAAAGTGGAGATGAGGAGGTGGGGAGGGCTGTGACGCGGAGGGCAGAGGCAACATTGAGCAGAGGCGAAGGGAGGGCGTCGTGGAGCTGGAGCACAGAGCCAGCTGTGGGCAGGTGAACAGGACCAGATCGTCAGGGTCTCCAAGGTAACCAAGAGCTTTGGATTTGGTCCCGAGAAGAAGCGGGAGCCATTCAAATGTTTGAAGCACGGGGAATGTTTTAAGGGTGGGAATATATTGGGGAGAAATTGTTCTGGCTTCAGAAGGGCTTGGAAAGTCTGGCGCACAGGCGGCCAGGCCGGTGAAGAGGGTGAAGATGACGCAGCTTCAAGGGGACGCTGGTGGTCGGGGGAGAGGCGGACATCAAGGCGCGGATGCGGGAGATGCCCAGGAGATAGGATTGACTGCGCTGGATTCTTGGTTAGACAGAGGCGGAGGCAAAGAGGGAGGAGGACGAGCGCGCCTGGGGAGACAGGAGGAGCCGTCTGGGAGGTGGGAAAGGGGAAGGACCTCTTTGGGGCATGTTCCTTTGACGAGTCCGTGAGACAGACGTGAGTCCGAATCCGAATCTGAGAGAGAGCTGGACAGGCACGGGAATTTGGAGGTTGGCAGAGGAAAAAAAGATAATAGCTCCGGGTAGGTATGACGGAAGTGGGATGGGAAATGGAGAGTGTTCTCATGTCTTGGCTTCTTTCTCCCACCCTTCCCCGATCCCATCTCACCACCCACTGCACCCCAGGGGATAAAGCCCGCCAGGTCTGAGAACAACGGCAGAGGTTTCAAGCAGTAGCTTTTACAATAGAGAAAACGGGGGGACCGAAAGCCCACTCCGGTGACCGCAGAGTTTCGAGACAAGAGCTCTTGGAATAAGGGGTGCACAGGAGTACCCCCTCAATTGCAAGGAGGCCGGGCAGCGGGAACATTCACTAAGCGCTTACTGTGTGTCACCAACCTCCCTAAAGCGCTCTACCCCGCCGTCTCCGCGCGCGCTGTGCGCCGAGCGCCTGCGCCCTCGGCGGCGAGCAAGCGCCCAGGCTGTCGGGGGCGCGTCTCTCCCCGGGGATTTGACCGACCTGGGGCCGGGGGCGCGGGCCACCCCGCCTGGCTCTGGGCAGCTCACCTTGCCCCGCGCGGGCCACAGGCGCCTCCCGAGCGACGCCTCCCCGTGCTGCCCCACCAGCCACAGCTGCACCTGGTTGTTGGAGCCTGCGTAGAGCGAGGACCCGGTGGCCACGCGGACACGGTAGAGACCCATCTTGCCCAAAGGTGTTTCGCTCCTTCTGAAAGGGAAGGAGGCCGGACGCGCCAGATATCAGAGCCCGAGACCCCGCCCTCTCAGAGGTCTTGTCCGGGGTCGGAATGTGCGTGGCAGGTCTCCAACCCACCCCCGCCTGGCTGCTGGCTGGGGCTCCCAGCTTCACGCAGCCCAGAGCTCAGCTCCAGCCCAAAAAGGCTGGGTCCCGGCGGGGGCAGGGAGGGTAAACCATTGTCTTGGTGAGAGGGGGAAGCAGATGAGGATTTGGGCAGAAAACATCCAGGAAGAAGGAATCGACGCCTGGTCCCGCAAGCAGATGGTGTGGGGGGCGGGGGGGGGGGTATGAGCCAGTGTACGACAGACAGACACGCACACAATGGCCTCATAAATTGGTTCGTCCCTGCCAAGGGTCGTATTTAAGCTTGCAGGGAAGGGCGAAGCGGGCGAGGAGACCCGGTCTGTAGCAGCATTTGAGGAAGGCACATTCTGGCCGCCTAATTCATTCGGCCACTTTGCACGTCTGCCTTCCCGGTGCCAGGCTCTGGGACTCACTCCTTTCTAGCTCAAAAGCTTCTGCCTCCCTGTGGCCTACAGAGTAAAAATCCAAACTTCTTCGCATTCAGAGCTCTTGCTAACCTGACCAGCCTTCCTCCCACTTACCCCACTGCACCTCGTCCTCATCTCCTCGTGCTCCGCCTGGGGCTGGAGCCATGTGTTCCGAGAACCCCCCTTGTTGTTCCCCAGAAGAACTTCCTCCTGGAAAATTCTATGCATCCTTCTAAACCCTGATTAGACTCCAGTTTTTCAGTGACGACTTCCCTGGCAATTCCATTCCTCCTACACCACCAGAGCTAATCAACTTTCCTCTGTACTACTTTCCTCCTTGTGCATACTTCTATTTTTTTATTCACTTTCAAATATCTCTTTTAATGTGGGTGATTTGAGACAGAGAAAATATTCACAAATTATGTATTAGGGGAAAGAACATAAGCTTTAATCCAAACAAATCAAAGTTCAAATCTGAGATCATTCTTTTCATAACCATGTAACCTCATCTCTTCTGAGCCTTATTTTCCTCATTGGTGTAATGAAGAAAATATTAATATTTAATCCACTGGATTGTTGGAAGGATTCCAGGAGATTCATAAATGCAAAAACCCCAGCACAATACCCGACACATAGCTATTGTGAGCAACTCAGTGTTCTCAACTAAAAATACCCTTTTTGGGCCTCGCGCAGTGACTCACGCCTGTAATCCTAGCACTCTGGGAGGCTGAGGTAAAAGGATCCCTTGAGGTCAAGAGTTCAAGACCAGCCTAAGCAAGAGTCCATCTCTACAAAGAATAGAAAAAATTAGCCTGGCATGGTGATGCATTCCTGTGATCCCAGTTACTCAGGAGGCTGAGGCAGGAGGATCACTTAAGCCCCGGAGTTTGAGGTTGCAGTGAGCTATGATGACGCCATTGCACTCTAGCCTGGGTGACAGAGTGAGACTCTGTCTCAAAAAAAATAAAAATCCTTTTTGTGTGCCAGTATACTAATGTGTTCTAAAGCTTTGAAGAATTGAATTATTACTTCATAGTGCTGTCTACTGTCTTTTTTTTTTACTATAAAGGGGATACAAATGTTTTAGGTTACATGGATTGCTTTTGTAATTCTTGAGTCCCAGCAACAGGGGGTGTGCCCATCACCCGAATAGTGTTCATAGTATCCATTAGGTAGGTTTTTTCCCTTCCCTTCTCCTCCCTCTCCTCTGCTTGATTTCCACTGAGTTTTATTAATACTTCCCTCTGGGCACATGTGTGCTCATGGTCAGTTCCAATTTAATAGTGAGTATATGTGGTGTTTGTCCATTCTTGAGATACTTCACTTAGGAGAATGGTCTCCAGTTCCATCCACGTTGTTGCAAAAGATATTCGTTCATCTTTTTTATGGCTGAGTAGTACTCCATGCTATACATATACCACCTTTTATTAATCCACTCATGAACAGGTGGGCACTTGGGTTGATTCCACATCTTTGCAATTGTAAATTGTGCTGCAATAAACATACATACTTCTATTATTGCACACTTAATCAATCCTGCATTGTGATCCTTTGTATGTCTGTATCCCCTACTAACATGAGCTCCTCCTAGGCAGGGACCACATACCCAGCGACTTTCACTTTTGTTTCCCCTGAATTTAGCACAGTGTCAGGGCTTATGGGTGTCAATAAGTGTTTGCTGAAATGCACTGAGCTGAAAAATCAATTATAAATAAATTCTTCCCTTGAGGGAGACAAAGGTAAACAAATAGCTATTAAGCAATGTCAATAACAAGGAATTAGTAGAATAAACTGTGGTGTTACCATGGCATAGAGTAAGATCAGGCTAGTAAAACAAATGAAGTTGATGAAAATATGTTTGTGATGCATATTTTCTGGTTAGTTTAATTTTTTTAGCAGGAAGTACTGTAACCAGCTCCATAAGCAAGAAAACATTTTTTATAGTTTTTTTTTCATAGTTCTCTTATGTTTCAAGTTCCCAGGCCAGTAAGATTTGCTGACCAGAACTTTGTAACTTTGCACAGATTCATTCCCTTTTGAGTTTCTTTCCGAGAAATGGCAAAGCCTCCTTGTAGCCACGAGCCAACTACAAAGCCTTACACCACCTGTTTGTCCGGAGAAGACAAGTAAGCAACACCCCACCACAGATCATGCCCAAGGACTCACTGAGCAACCTACTCCCTGCATCCCACCTCTGCACAAGGCTGAAAGAATGACCAGTGTTAACCCCTAATTCATGATACTACTAAAATCCCACCCTGGGAGGGACTTAGCCACCATTTTTTGATCATGGGTTGTGTGTACTAGCATGGTTGCTTACTGCACTTGCATGCCCTGCACTCCACCAAAACATGTAATAATGCTCACTCCCCTCATGCATTATTCATTTCACCTCCAGAAAAAACCCTGACCCTGTAGGTCAGGGAAGCAGTCCACACCTCCCACCTCCCAGTTAACCCATCTCCTGCAATAAATCCTTTCTTCCTTGACAATCCTCATTGTCTCAGTAATTGGCTTTCTCTGCAGCGAGCAACAGTGAACCCCCTTGTGGGTTCATTAACAGTACATTCACATGATTCAAAATTCCGAAGGTACAAAGTAGTATTCACTAGTTTCTTCCACCTATTGGCCCCAAGACACCAGGTTCCTCCACCGCCAACAGTCATTGTTACCAGTTTCTTCTGTGCATATTGCCAAGCAAATACATGCCTATCCTTTTCGTCCTTTTCCTAAACACTGTAGCATACCTTACACAGTGTTCTGCACCTTGCTTCTTCCATAGTGCAGCATAAACCAGGAGATTACTCCACATCAGTACATAAAGAGCTTCCTTGTTCTTTGTTAAGGATACTATTGTTTTGCTGTGGCATAATATAGTCTATGAGTCTCTTATAAGCAAACACTTAGGTTGTTAGCAATCTTTCATAACTATCAAAAATTTGCTAAAAGAAATAACCCTGGTGTATACATCATTTTTCATATGTAAATATATCTGTAGAACAAAATCCTACAGATGGAATTTCTGGGCCAAAAACCTGTAATTTTGGCAGAAATTGCTAAATTGCTTTCCATAGAAAGTTGTACCAGTTTACACTCCACCAGTGGACTATATATGAAAATGCTCGTTCTTCCTCACTCTTGCCAATGGTATGTTATTAACCATGTTTACCTTAGCCAATCTGATAGGTAACAAATAATATCCTAGCTTTAATTTTAATTTGCATTTCTCCTATTATGAGTAAATTTGAGCATCTTTTCATGTTGTAGGAGCAATTTGTATTTATTTTTCTGTGAACTGGCTGTTCCATTTTTCTATTGGGTTTTGGTCCTTTTCTTACTGATTTGTAGAAACTATTTATATATTAGGAAAATGAACCCCCTTTTTTAGCTCTATCACTACTAAGAGAGGTCCAATAGCAACAATGGTCCTTTTTATTTCCATCTACTCCTTAGAGCCCAGCTTTTGGTCTATAATATTATTCTCTACTAAAAGAAACCTGGACTCATAGAGCGTAGCTGATTCCATGTTTAGGGGCAAGTAAAACACTCGATAAGCCTAGAACATACATTGTTGCTAAAAAGTAAGGGTGCTCTCAAGAAAGCAGTACTGAAAGGGCAAAATGTCTAATTAGAGGAACTCCCACTGGCTATGTTGTGACATTTAGAATAGCAAAATGAAATCATAAATAGGATTGATTGAAAAAGGTAAAGGTGGCAGTTAGAATGCTTTCTGTTGCAAGTAACCAAAAAATCAATTCAAAATGGCTCAGACAATAAGGAAAAATTATTATCTCAGAAAATAACCAGCCCATGGGGTAAATTGGCCCTAGGGTTGTTTAGGTCAGTGGCTCAACAACATCATCAAGGAACTAAGGAGGTTTTGCGGGGGGGGGGGGTCAGTGGGTTTTTTCCCCCATCTTTCCACTTTGCTGTCCTTCATGAGTTGGTTCTTCGATGTGTTTCCCCTTTAGCTACTTCCACAGTGGTAGCAAAATGGCTGCTACTGCTCCAACCATCCCATACAGATATGACAACTTCCAGTGGGAAAAGAAGGGCCATTTCTTTCTGTGCCTCCCCTTTAAGAGCAGGGAAAGCTTTCCCAGAAACCATCCAGCAGCTTCTCCTTATCTCTTTCTGGCCAAAACTGAGTGCCAACTCAGAAACTTTTAAGCAGGTGAAAGAAATAGAATTGCTATGATTATCTTAGCCTAGTCACAATTTAGCCCTGAGTTATATGAACAAGGAGGGACACCCAAACATATTTTGGACCCCACCAATAAGCAAGAAGGATGAAACAATGGATTGGGAGGTAGGCACCCAAAAGTGTGTGCTATTAATACAATTAGTTTGGGAAAGGCCCGAATTCACAATAATATTCAAAAGAGAAAAGTTGCTGTAAATTGTTATACAAAGGCATTAGAATACAAAAAAAAGAGTGAATATATTAGGACTTTTGATGTTTTTATAGGTTTTCGTAAGAAAAGAAATGTTACTACATATGAACATGTTTGTTTCTTCTAAGTATACATCTGTTTATAATGATTATTTTCATAGGCAAATAGAAAAAGATAAAAACAGGGAACTGTGTGCTAGCCAAATAGTCCCAGCAAAAATATTAACTGTTCCAAGAATGGGAAGGACCAATCAGCACATGTGGTTACACATGATAACCAGGTAGAAGGGAGGTCTAAACATGTAGCCAGCACTGGTGCTTACAGCTGTGACCAAGGAAAAGGG